TCGGGTGCATTGACATTCAGGTCGGGCAATGCAACTTGAGTCTCGGCGGCTGCTGGCTGACTTCGGTCGGACGGTCGGCTTCTTGTTCTAACTTCGATAGTTATCATGGTCGGGTCGCTTGAACTGGCTGCGACAACTTCCAGGATTCCTTCTTCTTCTTCGGGGGTAAGAGACTCGAACGACTCGAACGTCTCTTCTTCTTCTTCTTCCCTGGATCGGCCTTCACTTGATCCTCCATCATCTCCATCGACAACTGGGTCCACAAACGGTTCGGGAACAATTCCTTCTTTGATAGGGTCTACGTCTTGGGCGGCTACTCGGTCATTTCCTTCTAAGTTCGGCAATTGGAACATCCCCATCAGAACTTCGTTAGATGTTCCGGCTGGCTCTCCCATCAATTCGGCGCACAAGGCTGCTGCTTCGGGGTCGATGTTCATGGCTGGAAATTCCATGAACTCAAGTAGGATGTGCTGAATCTGATCGGCAACTTCTGCATCTTGATGGTCATATCCTCCGATCGGGACTGCTACAATTCTTCCTTGATCATCTAACGTGATCTCGATCTCGCTTGGTGCTCTTTGATTTACTTCAACTGACTGATCGTCTTGAATGACTTGGACTTCAATAGGGGCCTCGAGATCTTCGGATGGATCTGTTTCCACCGATGACTCGACTTCGACTTTAACGAATGCGTTCAAGGTCTGAGTAACGCTGAACAAAGCGCTACTACGGTCAGAGTCAGCCGGCAGCCATCCACACACATGGCTGGGTTCTCCATGAATCGGCCTTCGTCCCTCATACCCTTTTCCACAACCAGATGCACCTGTAGACATCTGCACCGGACAAACAAGTAAGCACCTATACTTGGTCTAAAAATAGAAAATCCTATATGCAAAACAAGTAGACAAACGACCGGATCTAAAAAAATTTTTGCGACTCATTTACTCAATAAAATGGTTTTGAAAAGCACGTTTTGGTATGTTCTCGCAACCCTGCTCTGATACCACCGTTTGTAACGCCCTCGAACTGTCCCTACGACCGGACAAGCCGAGAGACGACCCGGACACGCTACTGAGGACATGGCTAAACGCGAGCAACCGAGGTTCCCGCGGTGGGATAAGGGCGAGGCAGGATCCCTGAGTCAGAACGCGTCCGAGACCAGCCGTCCCTCTTTGCCTGGTCGTCGCGTTCGAGACTTTGCAACCCTTTTTCCGGACGACGCGAGCGAGGAGTTGTGCACTCTCACCGGCCCGGACATTACCAATGGAAGTGGAGTTAGATTTATCGCCATGGTTTTTCCCCAAAAACTTCCTTTGAATTACTTATAATAAAGTTTTACAAAAAAAGTTACCAAAGCGTTTATAAGTTGCATTCAGTCTGGAGGAAACATCTTGGTTGCATCGATATGCAACATCTTGGGCTAGTCGCGAGCTAGGGACCAAGCATCCTGGTCAAGAGCTGCGAAACCACAAAGCATCGTCATCGCCAAGGAAACAAATTATCGAACCTAAGAATCAAATCTACAGATCTAAAACTAAGGACTCTCTAAAAGCAAGAAATTCTACACAAAGAAGATCAGTACTAGAAGAGATAATAAACAAGCAAGCAAGCAAGCGAATCAAGCAATCATCAAGTAAACAAAGCAAAACAAGCAAGCAACCATGATATTAGTCTAGGTGATAGTTCTCGGTGATAATTAAGAAACTAGCCTAGCCGGATTAACATGCGGGTTCATTTTAGTTGTTCATATTAGCAAGCATTATCTTGTAATCAAGCTGGATTGTTTAAGCATGCGGGTTCATTTTTGCAGAAATTTAAAGGCGCTATCATGCAGGTTCAACAAAAAGAAAAGGCAAGCAAAACACGCAATAGGTGCGTACACAAGTCCGGAGACTTATGCAGCACCCCACATAATTTGTATCCAACTCATAGTGTTTTTATCGGCGATTTTCCTTCTTCTCTCACCGAGGCAGGCACACGAACACTCCTTCTCGGATCAACCTTCGGTAGCAGATTTCTCGACTTTGGCAACAAGTTTCTCGATCCTTCGCCAGCAACAACTGATCGGAGGGGCAAGTTTCTCGAACGAAACTTTCAAGAGCGAGAGAGAAATTCTTTATAGTGAGAGACTTGTGTCGTTTGGGTTAACAAACACAAATGACGCTTCACTGCCTCTATTTATAGTGTTTTGTTTCGGGGAAAATAGCTAGGTTCGAAAATCGCATGCATTTGTCAGGTCTAGGTTCGGGTTTGGCGAAACAAGCCATCTCTCGCTGCCGGACACGTGGCAGCCATGGAGAAGAAAAAGGATTATGTCTGATTGCATCCATTGAATCTTCTCCCATATCTTTGCAAGATGTTTTTCTGGATTTTCTCTGTTTTTCTTGTTGGAAATTGCCATGTGGCAGAGCTGTCGAGTGAATAAGTTCACTAAACAGACACAAAATCGGATTTCTTGATCTACTTGAGATTTTCTCGATCAAGATCGGACATTTCAGTACTTAAAGAGAATTCTTCGATCATCTGGGAATTCCTTCGACAAACTCTCTTCAAAACACCTTATCGTTGGTTGTACATAAACATTTTACTTTGGTTTGGCTTCGATCGTCACTTCTTCGATTTGGCCTCGACCGACTGTCGTCGCGGATCGACAGGATCGATGGTGTCTCGACCATCTTCGACTATTCTTTGTTACTTTGGCAATCCTTCTCGATAGAACTTCATACTTATCCATTTTAAGACTTTGGGTCGAGATACTTTGCTTCACTTTTGGGTCCAGTCTTCGTGTGGTCGATAACGTACTTCTCCGGCTACGTTCCTTCGTAAATTTCTCGACCAAACTGCGTTTCTTTTGGTAAGTCTTCGATAGATCACCATTTTTACTTCTTCTAAGTCTTTTAGAGTTCTTTTCTCACCCGTTCATCGATGATTTTTCATCCGGCTACTAGATAAGGGTGAGGGTCAGTACACCCCCACAAAAAATCCCTTGAGACTCAATCTAATCCATCCAAAGTACTTTTTGGTAACTTAAAAGTACTTATCATATGAACCGATATGGACGACAAAACAAAGCTCAACATTCTCCCTTTCCAACATGCGAGCCTTGCAGTCGTTCTTGCTACCACCTCCCCAAATGTATCTATATTCACACGCTTTTGAAGGATCAGCATTCTAAGATATTTACCCAAATCTTTGGTCGACTTAATCCCATTTCTGCACTTATCAGCTGTCCTAACTCCCGTGAAACATTCTTGGAGAAAAAAATCGTTGATTTATCCAAGCTCACCTTCTGCCCCGATGCGGTACATAACTTTTCTAAGACACCTCTTATCACATGTATCTGTTCCACGGACGCCTCAGCAAATAAAATCAAGTCATCTGCGAAACAAACATGTGAGAGTTTAGGACCTGTCCTCGACAGCTTATTTGGCTTCCACTCCTTTTCCAAAATAGATTTTTCAATCAATTGGCAAAGATGTTCCATACACAAGACGAACATATACGGCGAGATCGGATCTCCCTGCCATAACCCTCGTGACGGCTTAAACGAACTAGTACGTTCGCCATTCCATAGTAAACTCATCGATGGCCCAACCACACATTGCATAATCCACCTTACCCACTCATCCGTCATAACCACCGCATAAAGAGTATCCTCCAAAAAATCCCATCTTACCCGATCATACGCCTTCTCCAAATCAAGTTTCAACAACATCCATCCCGTACGTCCCTTCTTTCGACGCATAGAATGTACAACTTCTTAAACAATAACTATATTATCCTAGCTAAGCCTTCCCAGAATAAAGCTTGTCTGAGCCGGTCCAATAATACGGGTCATCAACTCCTTTAGCCTTCCCACCATAGTTTTAGTAATTGTTTTAAACAATTACACAAACTAATCGATCGAAACTGAGTTATCATCTCCGGTTTCGTCACCTTTGGAATTATAACCAAGATTGCATCATTCACCCCACTCGGGAGTTATCCGGTTTGAAAGAAATCCAACACAAACCGAGAGACAGATTCCCCATGAACATCCCAATCCTGTTGATAACAAATTGGTTCAAAACCATCTGGGCATGGGGCCTTATATTGGCCCATACTACGAATAGCCTTCTCAACCTCCATACTCGTAAAAGGCTTTCCCAAGCTCTCTTGATCTACCACAGAAATCCGTGAGAACCCTTCCCTTGATATCCCCGTAACCACTGCTTCAACATCATCTAGCGAATATAGACTCTTATAATACGCTACAGCCAGCTTCTCAAGCTCTCCATCATTAGTTACCCATCGACCCTCATTGTTCTTTAACATCTCGATCCAATTCCAGCGTCGACGGATGACCGTAGAGGTGTGAAAGAACTTAGTGTTCCGATCACCATGGGGAATCCACTTTTCCCTTGACTTCTGAAACCATAACACTTCTTCCTGTTCCTGAACCACATCAAATTCACCCAACAACTCCGACTCACGCCGTAGAGGATCATCTGTCTGAGTAATATCCAACTGATCTTGCACCTGCTTGATATCACTCATCAGCTTCTCTTTCCTCTTCATAACATCCCCAAAGACTTCTCTATTCCATGCTCTTAGTGTCCTCTGTAACCTCTGAAGCGCCTCTTGTGTATTAATATTCCCATTCCAAGAGTTCTTCAATAATTCCTTAAACCCCGGATGCGTCATCCATGCCGCTTCAAATCGAAATGGTCATCGCCTCGGATCTCTTCTCAGCTCCGGAGACAATTGCACATAAAGTGATGCATGTTGTGTCCTGCCACTTCAGCCTCGCATGCGCACAACAGAGAACCCGATCCAACCTTTTTGCAACAAAAGTTCTCTCTTCACGACCTCTTCTCCAAGTAAACTTATTCCCCTTAAATCCCATAACAATAAGAGAAAGCTCACTGATCCACTCACCAAACTCCAAAGAATTAGGCGACAAACGCCCGTTACCCCCGATCTTTCATCCAACCGTACTATCGTATTAAAATCACCACCTATCACCACCAGACCATAGCTCCACGGATCACGTGGCTCAGACTAATCCATAACCCACTTCGTCGGCTTGCTGATGGCACAGCATAGACGACAATGACATTAACCATCTCCGTCCCATTCACAACCGTAGCATGAATAAACTGTTTTGTCAAATGTACAACATCCACAGTCCCAATTCCATTTCTCCAAAGAAGCCACAAACCACCACTCTGCCTAGCTGCATCAACCCGAAAGGAATTCTCGAAACCCAAACCGTGACAGATCCGACTTGCCCGATCACCCGCCGCATGGGTCTCAAAGATCGCTAACATATCCGTATGAAACTTGTTCAACATATATCGAATAGCTCTTCGAAAATCGGATTTATTTGTCTCCCAACAAATCAACATTAAGCAATTTATCATTGATTCGTTATAAAAACCAAGAACCGCTCGGAAAACTGCTAAACCAGAGTCATAGCAACCTCATCTATCGACCCACTATCCGGCAGATTTGCCCATCATCGCCCTCATGCAAATTTTCCTGGATCGCCGCCATTCCCGTCCATTGATTCTCACGGTTCGTTGTAAACAAACCTCCAGGTCGACCAACTGTGCCCTTATCCATTCGCAGTCGTTTCCCTTTAACGGACATTTGTAACTCACCTCGTACCAGACCAAAAACCAAACCCCGTGTCGGCTTTGCCAATTTTGGCAAGTTGGGCCTCAGTCCATTACCCACCACATTCTTGTTCGGCCCAGTCCTTATCTCCTTACAACCTCCACTCGGCCCACTTGCCTTCGTGGCTTCTGTCATGCCAAACACGACTAACTTTCCTTGCACGCCATCATCCCCATTAATGTTCTGATTCGGAATAATCTCATTCTCCTTATTTTCCTCCCGAATATCTCCTTCTTGCCTTAGACCTTCGCTTTCCATATCCACCTCCAAGTCACCAAAATTGTTCGATATCGTCACAACCGGCACTTTCTCGTTCCCCAAACTTTGCCGGTGGCTAACACCACCTTTATCCACTTCACCCACCGTATTCATAGCCTTATTAGCCAATGGTACCGCCTTCCTCCTCCGAGGCTGCACTGGCACAAAACCATCCGTCACTTGAGTTTCCATTTTTCCGATGTATCAGCCACATTTGACCGTGAAACGTCAACAATCGATTTATCCTTAGCCCCATGTGGACACGCATGCACCAAATGACCGTACATTCCACACCCCGAACATATGTTCATTAAACCTTCATACGCAACATAGTATCTTTCATCATTCACCATGACTGTTTCTTTAAGTGGACGTGTCAAATCAACTTCCACACAAATTCGAGCGAATCTCGCTCTCACAACGTACTGAGGTAAACCTTTATCGGCCTTCCAAACCCTTCAGCAATCCCCATCAAAATAGTTTTATGATAAAAGTTCACTGGGATGTTTGCTAGACGAACCTAAACCGGAGTTGTCACAATTTCATCTGTCATGGGATGAAACTTCGGAGACCAAGCCTGGACGGTCAAGTGACTCCCAAACACCCGCCACGGACCACCAGTTAGTGCTGCCAAAAACTCCTCCTCCTTCTCAAACCGAATCTTAAAAAATATGCGTGGTAGATCCATCACATACATGGCCCCAGCCGGCTTTCACAATTCTTTCAGCTTCCGAGTCAACACCGGGAGAGAAACATGTCTGCCTAACACCTTCACAGTCATACACTTTGTACACATCCCATTCATAGCCGTCAGAACCTCTGGACCTATCGTGATGACAAGTTCTCCATCTCGTCCAGACGGAAACTTCAGACTCAACCTTTCCAACACAAAACTCTCCTCGACTACCTCCACAGAACTGGTAACCCTCCACCAACACTACCAACCACCTTCTGTACCCATGACCGATCCGGGGGATCGCCCGGTGGTCTCCCCTTCTCCTCACAATCAACCATAGTAGCGTCTTGCTCTCCGCCTCCCAAAACCCTAGCGTCGCCCTCGGTCGTCATTTCTCGTTTTTGTACGTTTTGTCTTTTACAGGGTAGGTAGTTAATATGCTTACTATATAATGAAAAGAATTTTTGTTCAATATTAACATATCTAATTATGGAACAAAAAATATATATATCTAATATGGAAGAGGATCTCCATAGCGTAAACGGTGATTTGGTTTTAATTTGCAAGAAGTTATGATTTAGCTAATACATTATTTGGGAACTTTGTTAGTACACAGAATAAATTAAGGACTGCAATTATTAAAGTTGTTTATTTATGGATATATAGTGAGTCAATAATCAAAATATGGGGAGGATATTTTAGAATTTGGTTAGTAGTTATTGTTTTGTTTTTTTTTTCTGGAAACTTTGATAAATGTATTGATTCAATATCAGTTACGGTTACTATAACAATTTTTGTGATGTTAATGTGGCTGCATTTTAGAAAATTAAAATACTAAGGATACTCAAATTGAAATCAGATTTTAAATTTATGATGTGAACCGACCCAATTTTAAGATATACACAATTCGGTTGGAAAGTATGATCACTTTGACTTTTTCATTAAAATAACGCGTTTAATTTCTTTTATTTGTTTTACAAAATTGTGTTTGAATAACTATGTATTATGTAAACTCTTATGATATAATCAATATATAATTTGTCGTGAAAAAAAAAACAGACATATTTAACTCTTTTTATTAAACTTAATTTTCTTGATAAAAATAAAAGTCATCTAGTATTATCTCGCTCTCAAGAATTGTTTGTGTAATTTTACTAATCATAGGATAAGGCTGTATACGTAATGACTCATCCTAAAGGCGTTTTAAATATTCAATTAGTTTAAGTTGTGGTTTACGTACATATATATATAATAAACTCAATGTCATAAAATTTCCTAAATACACTCTATCGCCGAATTAAGCATTTTTTTGCTTTTGATTTTCACGATGTCTAGCGCAAAAGTACTTCGTACCATCATTGGAATTATTGGTATGATCGCTCATCTTCTTTATCTCTCTCTTTTACAGTAAATATGTTTAGATCTCTATGTGTATTCATACGGATAGAGTTGTGTATTAATACATATATAAAACAATTTACATATATGTATTATATATGCATATAGTTGTTACTCACAATTTGTCTTTGGCATGACGCAGGGATTGTTATTTCAAGTCTAATCTCCCTCTCACAAGTGTAATCTTTCTCTCTTCTTATTCAGTTTTTTTTATGTCCTTTGTTTTAACAAAATCGTGTTGTCTATGAATTAATATGTGTGTTCATATCAATATTTGTCGACGTACACATTATATACAGGCCAAGGTTTTTACATATATACAAGAAGAAATCAGTGGAGGATTATATACCGACTCGTCATATAGCGCTGGTGATGATACATGGTTTGTGGGTTTTGTATGGTCTCCCTCTTTTCCACAAAGATGGTATTCTCGTCACCACTAGTAATGGCATTGGCTGCCTAATCGAAATTATCTACTTGGTTGTCTTTTTGATATACTGCAGCGACGAATCATGCGTATGTTGTTGTTCCGTCTTTACTTAATGCTTAATTATATCTCTCATATCATATTGTATATGTTTTATTGATGTTTGATGTTGTGCAGCGTAGCAACACTTGGTATAGTCTTGCATCTGGGATTCCTTTAGTATTGGTATTACTCTACGGGACTTCTCTTACTGAAAGTGAGAGTTTATCGACTCTACATATCACCATTGGTGTTATTTGCGACGTTCTCACCACAGGTGTGGATATTAAAATTGCTTTGGTATGACTATGATCTCTCTATTATTGATTACTCAGTTACTATTACTTAGTTAATTATGTGTATTTTTTTTTTTTTTGAATAATTGTTTTTGTTCGCGATACAATAGACCTATGAGAACGTACCTGTATGGTTCTACTTGGCTAAATTCATCAACGCTGGAGTTTGGCTTGCTTACTCTTTGATCTACAAGTTAGATATCTTCGTTCTTGTAAGTCTTTCTTTATTTTTTTTTTATTTTTTTCTTGTCCATGTATACTTAAAACTATATGTTTTGATTTGTAACGTTTGTTTCATTTCGTTTGTTTAAATATGTGACAGATAAGTAGTGGGCTTGGAATGTTGTTATGTGCTTCTCAACTAATATTCTGCTCGAATCGGCCAATCAAACCAGCTCAGTCCAATGCCGCGGACACTCTACCCCAACTGTCGACGTACGTCGGTGTTGTGTGAGAGTTTGGTGTTTGGTGTCTGGTGTTTGGTGTTTGGATCACTAGGTACATATATACTTGTGCGTGTGAGGGATCTTTTTTTTTTTTTGGTGTTTTCCTATGTGTTATCAATGAATCTATCTTAACATTTTTGAAGTACATTTTGTACTAAAAACTATTTTGGGTCATAACCTTTTATTTTATAATATTTGCATAATCAGACCCTTGCCAATTGAATAAATAACAAAACTTAAAAATAAAATTTGTAATTAAATCATAAGCAAATAGCAAAATTTCCTAAAATCACTCTCTAATAAATTGAATCTCTCTCTAAATATATTTATATAATCTTATTTGTGTCTAATTTATATTATTACATAAAACACATTTATAATAATAAATATTTTTTTCCCGCATATTTTGCAATTTAAATTTTTGAAAACAGACGTATATAACTCAATCGATAAAGGAAAAAATATATGTATAACATCTACATAAGGTAATTATGTAGAAGATTTTCAATAATAGTTTAAAACCATTACAAATAGGACTAATATGCTCCCAACTACAAACTCCAAATTAAAAAACTTATCGAGTTTCATTCGGTTCTTTATTTAAGAAAAATAAAACTTTTAAAAGCTTAAAATATTATAATATTTAATTAAGCTTTATAGAACATTAAAAATATTTAAACTCTACAAAATGTAAAAATATTAATATTTTAACTCTAAAAAAATATAATAGTATTGTACATAAACATGATTGAACGGTTGTCTATATTTAAATTCTTTAAGGGTTACGCTAAAATATTTTTAATTTATTTATAACAAATTTGTCTCTCTGTGTACCGCATGCTAACCACATATATCTATGAATCTACTTATAATACAAATTCATAAAATTATATAAAATTAAAATGAAATGAATATGTATAACACTAGACTATATAAACTAATTACAAAAATAACTAATTAAATCAATATATTAAATTATGGACCCGTGGTGTACCACGGGATAAATCCTAGTATGTTAATATAATGTTATGGAAAGATCTGCAATTAAGATTTCATTAGTTTGTATTTTTTTTTTGTCGCAACCGAAATATGACCATATCTTCAATATATAGTAATATTGTTTTTAATTTCGAATAAGGATTCAATTTCTGATTTCGGGTTGTAAATTTTAATATTGTGATAAAATTTAAAATTCAATTGGGAACATAATGTTGTTTTTATATTTATTTTTACACCCACACAAATATTAGGACCCCTATCTAATTATTTATAAAATAATTATATGTTTTGGCGCATGACCACCTAACAGTTCCTATCCTATATGGACAAGTAAAATGAATGAAAAAAACTATATATTTGAACTTCAGGATTCTATTAGTGTACAATCAAACACTACATATAACATGGATTTGTTTTCTTCATGTCTGTTGGCTTTGGAGTTTGCAGGAGCATGTCAGCCATGAGCAGATGACCGTACCTCGTAGGCGCAGGGAAATTGCTGAAGCATGAGTCTGTACTTGACAATATCACCAAGAAGACGGTATGACACAGACGCAAATAATATTTTCTGACTTGCCTCGGAGTCTGAGAGATCCAGCGATAATGCTTTAGCTTCAGCCTGTCTTTTCATGTTGAATCTGGTGTGGGGACTCCAACTGGAAGATGGACAATGCCAACATCCTAGAATTCCAAATATTATTAGCAACTTAACCCTTAAGTTTCAGCCAATGAATAGATCAAACATGCTAATAAAATCATGATCCCATGTACGCATTTGATGCAGAGAATAACGAGGATGATTTCTTAAGGTATACAGATTTGGATTTACTAGCTCATAATTTTACTTGGACCAGTAGAGACTTTAGGATTTGAAGTTTGGTAATAGAGAGAGAAATTCGCTTACGAAAAAGTATCAGCTGCATAGAATATTGGAAGCCTCCCTAAACCTGCACACTTCCACGTTCTTCTTGGTGCCAAAATAATTTTTTCAGGTCCTGATCCTGTAGCAGTTAAAACAAACTGCAGACATAATACTATTAACACTGGTTTTTGTTAAGATATAACAGAAAAACATTTAAAAGGGACAAGAATAAAATGTCTGATGCAGAGTTATTAACTTATTTTTAAGCAAACATTATTTACCAATGGAAACAAGATGGCCATAAGCGCTCCGCTGACAAGAGGCGAGAGAAAGAAAATAGCCAACACGCAGGGACTTCCTGAAAACAAAATAAAAAGAAAGCATTAGAGTTTCTTTATATCAATGTTGCCAAAGAAACCAATACATTAGAAAAGTTTACCAAATCCAGTAAAGAAGGTCTCATATAGATATCAATGTTGTCAAAGGAACCAATACAGTAAAAAAGCTTACCAAAACCAGTAAAGAAGGCCCAGTTTGATTCAAAATAGTCTAGCCTTTTCTCCAGAGGAATCCCTGAGAAGTTCCACTTATATCTGCAATAAGAACCTGTAATTGGTGAGTTTCAAAAGTCTAACTAACTCAATTTCCTGGCACCATTGACTAGGCTGAAGTATATGATGAGATATGACAACTTACTCGTAACAATAGTAGGCATACATCCATGAAAGAAGTAAGAAATTCAGTATCTTCCCGATGTATGGTATAACACCAACAACATAAACCTGTTTTGTACAACCCATTAGCTGATCACATCTGTTACCAAATCCAAATGAAGAAACATATTATTCAATGGAGATTTACAAAGGAAAAACATTTACCTCCAGGAAAAAAAATGTCAGGAGAAGTATCGAATACACCTGCTCTCCTATACTGATCATCATCCTGGGAAAGAATCACGTAGCGAAAGGATTTTGGATTCACGCTTACAAACAGTGTTTTATGTTTTGCTTTTGAATTGTAAGAAAGTAAATCAGTACCCTCCAAGACCAGAAGGCCTATCAGCATTTGCCAAGTTCAGTGATGTTGGAGCTTCACCTTGTCTTAATGCTTCTGCTGAACTTAAGTCAGATTCCTCCATTGCTTCGAAACCAAGCTTTGCAATATCATTGTACCTGAAAACTAGATGGTCCTCATGACTCAATGTTCACGGAAAAGAAAAGAGATGGAAATGAAAACTCTAAACGAAGTATATAAATTTGTTTTCGATTGGCGATGTTCAGCTCGTGAAGGACCAAAGGTACAAGATTTCAACCGCTAATTATATATGTGAGTTGAGTGATGGTCAAAGATTTTGTCACAATTCTGAAAAGCGGAGGAAACAAAAGACATAACTATAATAAAGATGCAAGAAGGCTACCAGATATTACTCAAGATGAAGCTGAGCATGTACAGAGGATAGAACCAAAACACCTGTAGCCAAATTAAGAGCATTCTTTCTAAGTCAGAAAAACGAAAAAAAGTTGATATGCCTATTAAGACTGATGATTAAAACAAAAGACAAAATACTCCAACAAGAAGACTCTTCAAACCTTAACCATACACAATAGACTACTTAAATCTCGATGTTAACAGCATACTTACGTAAAAGAGCTGCAAAAGTCCACCACGTAGAAAGGCGTAAAATCCACCATGTGCGCATTGATCAGGTAATATCCACAGCAGGGCTGGATCAATAAACCACTTAAACACACCTAAACTGCACCAATCTCAAAAATAAAACCAAAGGTAACCATAAAAATATCAAATTGAGCTTTAATCAAGTCTCAGACTTTCTTGAGAGCATTGTTCAGGTATTATCCGCAGAAGAGCTAAATCTATAAACCACTTAAACATACCTAAACTGCACCAATCTCAAAACCAAAACCAAAAGGGTAAGCTAAAAAAATATCGAATTTGAGCAAGTTCCCTGCTTTAATCAAGTCTCAAACTTTCTCAAGTAAGATTTCTTATTCTCTGGATCATAACTAATCATAAATTCTTCGTCTTTCTCAAGCGAAATCCGATCACTTATACGGGAATCATGAAATCAAAACAAAGGCTAAATAGACCATTGACCATATCTTGTCCCAAAATCCAATTCTTATTCTCTATATCATAACTAATCACAAAGTCTTCGTCTTTCTCAAGCGAAATCGAATCACTTATACGCAATCAAAAACCATAAAAGATGAGATTTTTACCTTCCTAAGAAAATCAAACCATTCAAAAGAAAACACTGTCCAGTTCGTAATAAGAGCTTTCTCGACCTACCCACCAAATAAAAAACCAAACTTTCGTGAGATTAGTTGAAATTAAGTAACTCAATTATGATTCAGGAAACGAATCAGAGGAACCTGTGACAGAGAATAACAACACGGTGAAGAGAACAAGCTTCTCGGAAACCTTCAAGCCATAGAAGCAACACCTGCTTCGATTTAGGTATCATCTCTGGTCAATTTAAAAGGCTTCGGGGGGTTTCGATTGTTTGATGACGGAAGAGATTTAAGAGAAGACTTTGTTGAATCAGACAAGCAACAATAATTAGGTTTTGGTTTTGTAAAGAAAAAGTTAGAAGGTGGGTTTAATTAAATACATATAGAGTTCAACGCGGGATAGCATATAAAGAAAAAGGAATTATTTGTTTCTTGCAATCAATAAATAACAAAATGATAAAGATAGCATGTACCAGAAAAACATATAAATTTTATTTTATACTATAAAATAAAGTTTAATAATAACAAAAATAATAATAATTATTTAAATATTAATTTTGTATATACTATAAAATTAATTTTAATATAATATAGGGAAATAAGATAGGATTATTTTAGGTTTTTCTTCCAATATTAGCACTCACGCTCGAATATTCCAAATCTAGCATTTGTTAATATATTAATATTTATTTTTTTCTTTATTAGGATTTAACTTAAATAACAAAATCATTATTTTAAATCAACCCATAATTTATCTCCGATGAAGCTTGCGTCAAAGATAGCGTCGAAGTTTCTAAGATCTTCAGTTCTGATATGAGATTTTTCAATTCCTATCTTAGAGTTTCAAACAGATCTTGTAAAGCTTCAATAATCGATCTCCATATTCATCATCTTCTTCTTCTTTTTCGAGAACAGCGAAGACGGGGCGGTAAAGGCGACAACGACGGCGACGATCTCTTCTTCACTAGTCTTCCATCAGATCTATAATTCTCACCTCTGTAAATTTTGATTTTGTTACTGATTCGCTAACTAAATTTTTCTTCTAATTTGGCATTTATTTGGATTATTAGATGCCATTTTCCATTGATTAGTGTTGTTCGTAACGTGGGTTTATCTAGAAACGATTGATGTTCAGGGTTCTCTTTATAGTTTTGGTTTTAATTTTTGTTGGGACTTTAGATGTCAAATTTGTGCGCTAAACTCTTTATTTCTTATTTGCATCGTCAAAGAGGAAGAGGAACAACGATAGAGATGAAGGGGAGACGCAGAGGAAAGGAGTGAGAGATGTGGCAACAGAGATTGGAGCATTTGCTGTGAGAGCTATGGTTATGGGTGGAGGAGAAGAACTTTTGTAAGGAGATGTATCCGAATTTCATAGAATCCTTAATTAATTTTCATATAATCTTTCATAAAGTCCGATAACAGTTAAAATAAAGTGCTAACAGTAACATGTGACATTATTATTATGCAGAAACATCATGCAAGTACCAAAAGAATCTAAAAATATTTCACAAAATATTATACATGTCTAAACAACAAATCAAGTAAAATTGGATCAAATGAACATAGTCCTATGAAATGTCAAGAGACTCTTTAAAGATATACAAATCATACTTGTATCTTGTGTCGCCTGCACATACATCATGTTACTTGATTAAGTACTCAATCCCCATTTATTGTGATAAAAATTGAAATCATGGAATATGTTTCAGGAAAGTCTTCCTGAATTCTCAACAATGCTCCCTGAATGTTCAAAGTGACGAAGAAACACATCAATGCACGAGTATCAAACAATAAACAGTACAAAACAATCAATAAGGATGGTAACATGGTATAAGTAATAAGAAAACCGAGTTCTCTTATGAAAAGTTGCAAACTAAAGCGTACATGATCTTGTGTATTGTTTATTGTGGTAATGTGTGCTAATGTATCAGAGACAGTCTCCTTACAAGAATGCTATAAACTAAACCAATACATACACAACAAAAATAGTACAATAAGATCAAATAAACTACCTAAGAAAACTCAAACGTTAATGCATTTTTACAATGATACTCACCTAAATCTCCAAATAAATTCACTTTTTCAAAATCAAACATCATTAGAAAAACACCAAATCCTCTTCTTTTCATCACATTCAATACCTAAAGAAGAAGAGTCTTAGTATATCTAATTTCAAATCAATATCTACAACATATGATTCAGTTCTCCTATGTTTCAGATTCAATTTCTAGGTAGCTCCATTTTTATTTTCCAATATAGAACCAATTTTGAGAATAATAATCAAATGCTTAGTTATAGGATTCATGATCCCACGCTCCGATCTCCCGTAAGCAATCAACATAAGGCAATATACGAAAATCATATATGAAATTAAGAGTCTTGACGGAAAAAACGTGTTATCAATTGCTTTACGATTGCTTGAACTTTTCTGATAGGCACTTTTCATCTTCAAGAATGTCAAAGGGCTCACCTTTGTGAAATGAGGTGTTCCATCATGATTCCTTATTTCAATATATAGGTACAAGCTTCGTAAATCAGTTCCTTAGATTCTACAAACAGCGGTGAGAAATGTATTTAGGCAAACTCAGTAAAAAAAAATAACACTCATGCATTAGACCAGACGTGAATAAATGTCAAAGAGAAGCAAAAAAGGTCATCCTAAAGCTCACGCAAGCTTTCCTGTATTTTTTGAATTCCTGAACTTTGTCTTCAAGATCCTTGTTAAAGCACCTCAAACAAATCCATTGCTCTAAACATAAGAGATACACACAAAATAACACAGTCATTTGTTACATAGCCAAACTTGGCCCAACATAAGCAATATTGACTGGAGAGCATAGGTTCCATCAACAATAACTTCAATAAACCATAACAAATGAAGCGTAAGAGCCACACCAAAATCATAGTCATAATGACATTTTAGACATACATTAGATGAATTTGGTTTAGTCCCGGTTTAATACCGATTTAGTCATTGTGAGTAAAACTCTCTACATATATAAGAGGGTTCGTGTACATGTCGATTCGATTAAGATGAATGAGAATCACTTTTCTTCTTCGGCGTAACTGAAGTAGCAATTTTTACCCGATCAATTAAATTATCGAACCTCAAGGAGCAATTAATTAACACACCAAGAATACACAAATTTGTTTAATCTAAGCTTAATAAGAGATGAGTTTTGATTTCTAAATGTAACTAACAATGCAATTTAAATCAAGCAATGCAAAACAAGATGAAAGAAAGCAATAATCAAAAGACTAACAAGATTCGAATTGAAACAAAGCGGGAAAAGACAATTACTAAGCAATAATTAAAGACGAATCCTCGGGTTAAGGTAATTGATTAGGAGCGATAAAGAAGCGGATTATGGAGCTAACAACTTCAAACAAGCATTAATCCTTAGGCCATAGACACTAAACTAGACTAATCCATTTTCATGACAGTAATCACTTTACTAATCAAATAATCATCAACTTCTTCCAAAGGCAATTAAATGATCAATAAGCATTAATAACAAGTCTATCTAGCCACTAAACATCCTAATCAACATTTTCCAACGGCAAGGAGTGTAAAGCACTTAAAAGTTTTGGTTCGGGAATTTCATCGAACACCTTCCGGGCGTGAAACTCCTAAGCTCTAAATCAACATTAACAAAGTTGATTTAGCCTTATTAACAACCAATAAGCAAGGATCTTAAACTATCTAGTCCTAAACTCCATAACCCAACTCCAAAATCCCCCTAATCTACCTAACCCAAAGATTCAAAATGACTACTCACTCATGTTCATGAAAGCACAAAGTAATGTGTTTGATCTTTGTGAAATCATGATTAGAGATTGTAGATTAAGAAAAGGAAGAAGTAATTATATTAAAACTTAAAGATTCACTACAAAATCCAAAGAAGAACCTTAAAAACATAGCATAAGATCCATAATTTTAGGCCTTGAAACATTTATATAGTATAATAAATCGATCCTGGTCAACCCGAGATAAACCGGGTCAAACCCAAAGTCTTTATATTCAACCGGTCGATTGCATGGTCGATTGAAAACTTGTTTTGGCGTCTGTTTCAATCCAACCGACCTGTCAACCGACCTGTTGGTCGATTGGAATTCTTGATGGCTTCTATCTTCGTTCTGTATGGAAATACTCTCACTAAATCAGTCATAACTCATGAACCATAACTCTGATTGGCCTGACAACACCACCGTTGGAAAGCTAATTCTATTTCCTATCACTTTCGTTCAGAGCTTCAAAGCTAAATCACAAGTTCCAGCCTTCATCTGAGTAGATCTTTGAGGGACTTCAGACTGGATCTGCATCATCAATCCTCCACTTTGCATTCAAACATGTGTCTTCTATTATCTTAACCTGAAATAACTTAAAAGACACCCAAAACACACTCAAAGACACTATATGACTTCTAAAAAGCAAGAAGACTCATTTAGACACTAAATGCAACAAAACACAATAAAAATACAATTGAAACATGATAAAAATGATAATAAAACCCCTAATAAAGGTGTAAATATGATGTGTATCAACTCACCCAGACTTGCCTTTTGCTTGTCCTCAAGCAAACAATCTAAATAAAGGCCAAGAGAGAAGCTTGAAGGTGGAATTCAATGAGCACAAAATATCAAGCAAATGATTCAAACCAAAGTCCTCAAAGATAGTTCAAAGGTGCTTCAATAAATCATCGTACTCTCAAATATTTTCTCATGCCTAAGTTAATGCAATCTTCTAGTTCATTCTCATTCCATTAGCAAAGACTCACAATCAAGTTGAAACATCTCTTTAACATTCATTAAAGTGTTTGGCGCGGTCTCGCAAATGGTAAGTGAATTAATCTCAATCGGTTTAGGGTAAAGGCTTTTTGAGGTGGCTTTGTTTGTTTGTTTCTTTGGGTGACTAACTCTCAACTGAAACGAATGCTAGACAATCATGAAATTCATCTAAGACCAAGAACAATTTATGCATACAAAGATTAGCCCTTATTGTTCTACCCATCTTAGATATAGGATCCTAATTTCTACCCTTTGCAAACCTTTTTCTTTTTTTCTGTTCAAACCACACCCATTGGACACTTTTGGTCTCTTTTCTTATCAAAACACAACCCTCATGATCAAAACCTTATTAGTCATTAGCCACCTAGGGAACCCTTTCTTTAAACACTAAACTCTTATTTAATCCCACTTTCTTTGTCAACCTTTGCAAAACTTTTCCTTTTTTGGAGACTATCTTACCCAATTCTTTCTTTTACTTAGGTCTAGAGCTTCCTTTCTTATAACTTTAATTCCCTAGGGACTCCTTTTAAACTCAATGATCAAGCCTTTCACTTCTTATTCCATCCTTTTATTTTTCTTCTTTCTCCCAAACCCAACCCAAATATATAATCTAACCACCTAACTCTTTCATTCCCTAACCAATAGCTAGCTCATATTGTTCCAAATACTAGCTAAAACAAGAGCTAATGCCTTGTCGTTCTCGATTCTATCAAGATTTCACAATCTATAGCATTATCAAGAAGAGGCCTCAATCACAAAATCAATTTAAGGGTTGAAATGAAAGGTAAGGGTTAAGGGTAAAGGGACTTTCGAATCATTCAAGAGAGTGGTGAAAGGGTATATGATTCGATTAAGAAGAATTTACCATGAGAATGCATTCAAAAACCATAAGCGAGAGAATTAGATTCAAATTAAGTCCAAATACATAGAGATGCTTCAAAGATCATGTAAGTTTCACACAAGAAGAGATTTCTCTCAAAGAATGCAAAGGTCTAAGCATGAATTTTCATTTCTTTCCAAGATGATCAAGCAACAATGAACCATGATCGAGGGCTTTAATTTCAGTCATGAGATTGAATTTCAACAAGGCATATGAATCATCACTTCCAATGCTTGTCCAAATGCAAGCTATATGCTACTAGACTCAATCCTAAAGATCGAAATGACTATGCAAAACTACATGCGTGTTTTTGAAATTTTCAAAATTTTCAAATTTTTTCGATTTTTCTCAAAACAAATCTATTAACAAATGCAAGACTCAAGATAATGAAAAACAAAACAAAACACATCATTAGATACCTAGTCCCTCCCCCAAACTTAATTCACACCGTCTCGGTGTGATAAAAGGATGAGGAAGAGACTAACAAAAAAGAAATTAAAATAAGACTTAAAACGGTATATACAATGAAAGGTGAAGCCATACCTTGCCCCTAGTTGTGAACCTTAGGGAGGAGAATGAGAGGAGGAGCGGAACTCCTTGGTAGGCTAGTTGGAGGGGTTGAAAGAGTGTGGAGATTGGAATGGTTGGACCGTGTTACACCATTGAGGTTGATGGTGATGACCCTTGAGAGGAACTCTTGAAGTCTATCTTGGTCGTTTTGAAGTTCGGGTTGGATTCTTGATTTGACACTTGCAAAAGGAGTAGAAGAACCCTTACACTTCACCTTATACTCAATTTTTCCATCTATTAGCTTCACGGGATGCA